GGAATAGTATTCGAGATAGTCGAATAACTTTTTAAGCTTAACTTCGAGGTCAAGGCACTGGGTGGTGTATTTGGCATTCAACATACCACCAACTACACATGCTAGATCATCTGCAAAAAAGTTAGGAAGGGTACTTTCCAGGAAGGTCCACATATCTGAATGATATGTGATGAAAATCGCAGGAGTTAAACATGAACCTTGGGGGCCTCCTCTACAAATGGGGAAATACCTAGATCGTTTATTATCTAGCTCGATGAAACCGAACCTGCCCTTTAACCAGCTATCAATCCAATTCACATACGAAATCGGTATGCCGAGACGTGTTAATTTGCCTAAACAACCAGCCCACCATAGCTGGTCGAAGGCTTGACGGAAATCCACAAACACTGTTGCAACAGGTGCACTCGTGCACATCAGTGAAGCGATTTGATCGATCAAATTGAGTACTCGTGATTGTAGTCTGAAATTTGATCTGAATCCCGATTGAGAATCATGCAGTAGACCTCTATCTTTAAGGACACATTGAAAACGGCTTAGGAATAGCCGCTCTAAGATTTTCAGAAAAATATCTAGCAGTGATATCGGGCGAGTATCCTTGACTGCACAGATCGGTTCTTTTTTTGCTTGGAGTTTCATTTTGACATGTTTCCAATAGGAAGGAGTAGAAAAGCTAATGAATGAATCATTGAATATTTGTAGTAGAGGTTTCATGTATATATTCGGAATATATTGAAGCATAAATGAAGATACTCCATGTGCATCAATCGAGTGCTTTTTCTTTACTTTCGACGTTACTTTTAAAAGTTCAGACATAGAGATTGGAGGTATCGGTTCATAATAATTATCCCAACGGCAGTCAGGACTATCAACATAGGGGTGTGGACGATAGACATGGGATTGAGAAAAGAGATTCTCATAATGTGAGGCAGCTAGTTCTAACATAGCATCAGCATCTTTAACGACCACGTTGTTGGAATCAATAAAAGCATCGAGAGATCTGGTCGTTTTAAAATTTTTTCTCAGTTTAGACCAAAAAAGATTAGCGGAAGAAGACGACGAAAATCTTTCTTTTAATGTGTTAGATAGTTTGGTGCAACGTACAGCGGCTAGTTCTATTTTATTAAGTCTCCTTAATTCTTTAATTTTCGCATGCAGTAGTACATCACCAGTTCTTTTGTGTTGAAATGATAAAGCTCGCACAAAGGATAATTTCTGCCTAAGTTCTTTTGGAATAGCTATTCGATAGTTCTTTATCGGAAAATATGTAGTACATCGGGCTTTTAAACAATCTAGGAGTGTAATAAAGTTCGTGTAATACTCTTCTGATGGAGACATTCTATTTTCATTCTCCCAAAATTCTGAAGTGAGTGCAAGAAAATAATGGAAAACTTTCCAGTGTGTGTTACTACCTAACGTATTCTCTTTATTTTCGCACTCCAGTACCCCTACTAGAGGCTTGTGATCACTAGTTGTGTTATCCGTACAAGCCTGTATTGAAAGTGGGATACCACGCGTAAACGCGTAGTCAATGGTACGATCGGAACGAAGAGACGTGGGTATATTAGGTGTAATAGGAGTAAGAGCACGAGATAAGGACCAATCAAGAAGATTCTTAGCTGCCAATTCATCGGCTTTACTGTCTAGGTCGATATTAAAATCACCAAACAGACTGCAGGAATCGGTGATGTAATTGGACAGGATATTCCAATCCCAGGATTTGCTCTTAGGGGCATAAATTCCAATCAGACGAATAGGTTGTTCGAGTTTGACGTCTAATACGCATATGTTCGGGGTATCACACCCAACCCGTACTACCGGTAGACTCATTTTAAATAACATCAACACTCCACCCCACGCATTCTCACCCTTTCGATAGAAGGATTTGAAATTAACAAAAATCCGATTTACTAAAGGGAGATGAAAAGCACCTACTTCTAATAGAATAACACAATCTATTTTATATTTTTCCAGCAGGAGAAGGACCTCTTCCCACCTTTCGTCCAATCCCCTAACATTAAAAAGAAGTACACGTAATTGCGAAGAGAGTGCGTGGGTATGTACTTGATAAGAAGACTTCCAAGAAGAAAAACAAGAAGAAAGAGTAGGAAAGGAAAACCATTCATAACAAATTTCAGTTAATAAACTAAAGTCAAATTTAGATAACAACGGAGAGGTCAATGAAAGAGCATAATCGATATCAAAGGTTTTTTTGTTTACATGTTGCGGTGGGATAAACACACGCGCGAAAGGGGATAGAACAAATGAAGAAGTAGAATCGGTTATAGATTCGATGAAGGGGGATGAATTTTCTTGTTGGTTGATGGGTCAGAAGGGTGTTGGGTTTTCCGATTATGATCGTTGATAAGCTTAGATTTGAACTGCTCGTTTTGCAAAAATCTATTTGTCCAACCAGGTAAATCATTAACAAGTTTGGTACATAAACCAGCAAGTGAAGGACAAAATAGAGTTTTGTCGTTTAAGACATTTTGTTTTACAAGTGTAGGAATTACTTCCACCATTACTTGACATAACGGCGACACAAACTGGTTTATAAAATCACGTTGAAATGATGTATCAATTTGCTGTAAGTGTAAATCGTGAGTGTGATTCATAACCACCTGCTGTAAACCAATAAGTTGATCAGAATAATTATTATTTAAGTCTAATAATTTATTTAGATTTTCTTCAATTTTATTCATTTTGAGAAAGAGTTCTTCGATTTTTTTACCAGCATCGCTGGCTATGTTATTGACTGAACAATGATGATGATTAGTAGAATTTTTTTTGTTTAAAACAGGATAATCATTATTATTAAACCAATAATTTGTTTGATTTGTTTGATTCTGTTGTGGATGATCGTTAACGCCAGCTGTAGTAAGAAAGGATTTCGTAAGTGCAGATCTATAGGTTGTAATAATAGGGCATCTCATATCATTTGCATCATGTTCACCTTTACATCGTAAACAATCTAATTTTTTATCACAATTTAATTTATGTTGATTAAGATCGTCCACACCAGCACCACAAAATTTACAAAAATCTAAAGGATTTTTACATGAGCTCCTAAAGTGCCCTACCTGAAAACATTTGGAGCAAATCAAGACCTTGGCAGGTGCAAGGTATTCAGTAATTGCAAAACGAATATTATCAACATATAAGAATTTTTTGTTGAGCAAATCATTTATAACATTTATATTTTTAATATCAAGTCTAACCAAAGTAGTAGGAAGTTTATTCTTGTTACTAATTCGAAATGCATTAATAACATCAGGATACTCGTTTTGTATAGAAGCTAATAATGCAGGAACATCAAGATGAGTTGGTACACTTCGAAGTAATATAGAAAATTGAGCAGGTAAATGATTAGGTAAAATTTTTTCATATGTAAGTGATTCAATTGTTGAAGGCCAATTATGTTCGTTGAATAAGATCAAAAATGTATCACGATCATTAGGAAATAATAACAAATCTCGTTTACCTTTAAGTCGATGCCCAGCCAATTTCAAATTAAAATCATAATTGGCGAAGTAATGAGAAGAAATAAATTTAATAATACGTTTTTCATCAACATCTTGGTTGAATTTCACGATGAAAGGAGGAAAAGCAAATCTTGTTTCAGCGAAACGACGAGCTTCATGTGTTATTTCAGTAGAATTTCCAACCACCCTAACTTCACCATTGTTACCTGTTTTAATTCGTATACGAATTGGATTAGATGCAGGAACATTTGAGATAATACTATTGGTGTTAGTTGATGAAGTTGAGTTAGCAGTACTAACTGATGAAGAAGATGATGATGAACAAGATGAGGGTGTTTCATTGAGTACACGATCAATTTTTGTTTTCTTTTTTTTTCTTTTTACTAAGGTGAAATGATTTTCATTGTCACTATCCAATGGTGTAACATTATTAAGAGATTGTTGGTGATGATTAATATGGTGATGAGTCATGTTCGTGTTAGCTGGATGAGATAGAAAAGATGTCGCTGAGTGTTGGTCATGTTCAGTGACATTCATTGGCATTGGTAGATGATGATGGTTGGTTGTAAAACCAGGATAGTTGAACAGTGGTTGTTGAATGGTGGTGTTAGTTGTATTCGATGAACATGTTGCATCGGTAACCGTCATACCAAAATGAGGTATGGCAGGATGATGTAAAAAAGAATGATGTTGTTGTTGATTTCGAAGATCAGAAGAGTTAACTGAAGAGTTGAAAGAACGTTGATCCTGTGTCATTGTGTTGTTGATAGGGGGAGGTTGGGTAGTTGGGGCATTGGTTATGCTGCCGAGCATATCGGCAGCTGGAAGTTGATGATAATGAAGATGATGTTGAACAGGGGAATGTTATGTGGACAAATTAGAGTTTAAGAACGAATAAAACGTAATTAAATAGAATATATAGAGATGTATGTATACGAAAGGAAAGAAGAATACGTCTTATCTGTGTATGTGCAGCAAGCTGAATGATGTAGATGACAGTTATTTATCTCTCTCCTTGTGTTTCATTTACTCTCTTATGTATGAAAATACATGTATAAGTAATAGAAAAAAAAGAAAAGATGATAATTCGAATAAAACTGGATTTCGGTTCAAGTGAACCGAAGATTTTACAAACATCAAGTTTCATTACACAGAGAGGGATTTGTAACAAACATATTCACTAAGAGTGAATAAAGAAAGTGTAGCTAATTTCTGATTTTACTCAACTACTTATTAGTTTCATTCAGTGTACCTTTTTACAGACTGCATTTCAGTATGAAGCACTCATATATGTATATAAGTATCAATTAATTGTCATGTTGTAATAACTCTAAGCGGATAACGAAAACATTATTTTTAACGTTCAGGGAATATATAACAATGAGCATTTTAATTAAGAAAATATCACTTAAATGATATTTCGAAATAGATCGATAAGTAAAGCCTAAAAAGTCATTGAAATTGTTCATTTTGCGATGATGGGTAGATTATTTCTCTCAATTTTAGGTTCTCTTTGTTATAGAAGTCTTCTAAGTTGAGAGTAGAACTGGATTTAATAAAGTAGTAAAAAATTATTATAAAATATTACTTAATTTTCTTTTAAAATGAGTGTCTTATATAAAATGTAGCCCCTATATGTATATCTGCACTGAACGACGACGACAAAAAAATAACTTGAACGGCTCTTGATTAACAGAAAAAATTGACTAACCACTGAAAATAAACTAGATTTCTATCATTCAAAATTTCTTTTACCCTGAGAACGAAAATGCTCATGTCCTTAAGATCATTTCTACTACAATTTTCTAGTTTGTTTATAGAACTATCAATGACATTATAAGCATCTCTTCAATAAAGAATTTTAGGAGAATATTCTTAGAAAAAAATAATAGTTTTGAAACTTTTTTTTTTCTCCTTGATTTTTAATCGGTTCAGCTCTGTTTAAAACTTTTTCGGTTCAGTTCTAAAAAAAGAAGAACCGGTCCCACCACTGATACATATCTGATATATTATTATTTAGATAGCTTGTAACTAGCATTTCGATTGTTTTGCATTCTTTTCTTTTATAATCAACAATGTCAAAAGTTTTTTCCTGGATCAGGATCAATAGTGTAATTGTAAATGGTTTTCCAACTGTCTAAGGCTGACTAAATAATACTTAATTAACTAGCACTGAATGGGTGAAACATAATGTCTGATCTTTGGTATTTTTTGTTAATAAGAATATGCAAAACATTTGACATTCCTTCTATATTTTTGGTTTACTTTTAAGAAAATTTACAATTTAGATTGTTTAGCTTTCCAATGAAAATTTACGGAAGAGACACCTGTTATTTATCAATCAAAAACATCGATTAGCTACTTATGTTAATCCGTTAAACAATTTGAAGAACAGCATATTCATCTTTCTAACTCATGGTTATGCACATGATTTTTAAGCAAAAAGACTAATCGTTTGAATCTGAGGTACCCTTTACATGAGTACCAAGGCTAGAACGCAATATTCAGTGAATGGAGATAAATTTAATAAGGAGTTGAGTTTTCACTGAGTGCTTTTGAGCAATTTTTTTTTCAATGAAATGTTTTAGACTTGTTGAAATGTAGTAATGCATTGTCAATTAATATAATGTTCAAGCTTCTGCATATCATACCTTGAAGAAATATTAATTTCAGATAACAAAAGTTTTTCTGCAGTTCTGTTGATTTTTTAGAGGAAATGTGCAGATAAAACAGATTTGTTTAAAATTTTATTGGCTTCTCTAGCATATTGAGCTTGTGCCGTCCTTGAATTGATTGCATATTCATGTGAAAATAGTTGCTCAGAAAAAATATTGATAAGAAAAATTGTGTCTCATTTGCACCCAAAATTTTGAATTTTTCAGGTATATTGGGCGTTTTTTGTTAGAAATGACGTTTTAACGACTTTTATGCATTAATTTAACGGAATTGAGCAGAAAAACGCATAAAAAAAGTGGAAAAAAATGAAAATGTTGAAAAATTCGACGAAAACACGAGTTTTTGTGCGTTTTTTGAAACAAACGAAAAACACGCACAAATTTCGACTAAAAGTCGACATTTTAGTTCAAAAAACGTGAAAAATCCACATGTCTGTCTGCTTGGGTTATCACTCAATTTAGTATTTTTGTTAAAAATTTTCAAAATAATCATCTAATAACAACACTTTTTTTTTCTTCATGAAACTAAGAAGAGTGGTGTTCAGAATATATCAATTGAAGGTTAACATTAAAAACTGCTCAATATCTTTGTGTCATTTGATATCATTAATAATCCATACGTATAAAAAAACAACGTACTACGTCATCACATGTTGTCTTACTCATTTCTTATCTGACAATCTATGACCCCCTATGCTTTTGATTAATACAATGTGCAAGCTTACTTGACAGTTAAAATCATCAGTTATCTTATTATTTAATCAGTTTAAATTGTAATTAACAAGAATAAAAATAATCTACGTCACATGAATCAACGATCTATCGATAAAAACAAGACGCTTATTTTTTCATCGAAGATTGTAATACAAAAGCCTATCGGATTTTTTTCTTTTGAAGTTGCTGGATTTTCTTTGAAAATCCGAATTTTTTTTCATATTATATACTCGGAAAGCATTATGATTTTGATCATATCAATTGAAACAATTGATTTTCAGCTGTCATTTGAAAAATGTCTATTCAAAATTGTGCTTGAGCAATGATCTCTTATATGAAAATGTCTGTCACTCTTAGCAATTATTTTCTAAATATAATAATAATGAAACATGCAGAGAGGATATGAGCCATCTATTTAATTTTCATTCATCTCTAAACAATCTTATATTATAGTTGTAGATTTATGTTAAAACAAGAAATTATTTTGTTTTGTTTTTCTTTTTGCTCTACTTTTTATTCGATTTGGTATCATAAGGTTGAAAATTTATTTTCGTGATAAATAACAATAAAAGCTATTTTTATTTCAGGAATGATCTCTTCCGAATCATTCACAATAATCTTATCAAAGTTTCATGTCATTCTATTGCAATATATTTGAGTAGTAGTCATGAAAAAGAAAATGTTGCGATGAAAAATCCTAGATAATTTTAATTCTGCTTTGTTTTGGCTTATATTTTAAAATTCTCGAATGTTTTATATATATATATTGGACCATGCACTGCAAATTTGTTTGTTTGTTTTACATTCATCGATATAAACCCATTAATTGCATAAACCAATCGTAACAGCCAATAATAATGTAGGGTTTTTGTAATACTCATCTCTAAGAATGAAACTTTTATCATCGACATTGATGTTAATCAGGAGCAAATAACGACCAAAATATATTATTATGATAAACATGTGCCAATCAAGCAGAAACAATCGATAAATCCTGAGACTCTTATTTTCGAGTATATAAAGACTAAACAAAGACATACAATTAACATTATCATTTTCTTGTTTTTCTTTATTTTATTTTTAGATATCTGTCTTCAAATTTTACAATAAAGACAAATAAAAATTAAATTATCCTTTTGTCAATGTCGAAGATGGCATAATTTACCACAGAATAAAAACAACATTTATCAACGATTATACGCTGCCACATATCGATCATTATCATCATTATTACCTCCACTTTGTTCTCAAGTTTTATTTAATGATAGTAATATACAATCACAATATATATCTCCAAAAGGTTTATCTGATCGTGTTATACCGATTGGAACATTTCCAAGCGCAATTTTAGCTCTTGAGTATTTATATGGAATATATCAGCAGAAGAATATGGTATTCAATCATTTGATTTAGTATGTATTGCTTATGATGAAAAATATTTAATTACGACATGTTGGATTAACACTAGATCCACATACAAATGAAGAACGTCAAGAAAAATAAATACGATATGTAATGTTACACAAAGATTCTGTACTGGAACATTACAACAATATTCAAGTTTCAATGATTGTCAACAATTTTTAAGAACACAAATACCTTATGGTTCATATGATAGAGCTGATCAAGGAAATGTTATTTGCCGTTTTGTTCATACATATTTTGTACCTTTATTACCATCTATACATTGTCCACATGTGGGTCCAACTGGAGGAGGAGCATGTACTGATAAAACAATCGACTTTTATTATAATCAAACAAATTTTCTGGCTTGTGCTCATAAACAATAATAATCAAATAAAATCATGTTCTTTTTTTTTCAATTTAAAGTTTAAATAATAATTTGATATCATTCATAAATAATTACGCGAAAACTAAAATGTATGAAGTCATAAGAAGGATGTAAAACTGATTTGGTAATTCGACTTGATAACTGTACTTCTTTATTAACTTAACATAATCTAATTTCAATATATTTATTTATCAGTTGATCAGAATTTTCTACAAAGTATTTGTTGAGAAATAACTATGTGGAAAACAAATGTTATAGATTCATAAAAACTGAGAACAAAATTACATTATTCAAATTTCTATACGAGTTATTTTTCATCATTATATAATCATAGAAATCACAATAGTATAAGCAATGGTCATATCATAATACAAAATAATTGAAAGTTTCAATCATCTTTAAGAAAGTACAGTTGACAGTAGTGTCTTATTATTTTGTTTAATTTATTTTTGTTTCATTGAATGTTTTATCTTTTTTACTGAAAGTTTAAAAGAATTTGTTGAGGTAAAACTTTCTAAAAATAAAAAAAAAATGTGGCTTGTTAATGAAAGTGAAGAAGTTACCATAACTAAGTT